GGGAGGGGGGAGGGAGAGAGCTTGAAGTGGCGAGCCAGTGCAACTTTGTAGGTGTACACTTTAGCGAAATCTGTCTTTGTACTTGGTAATCTTTTTTAATTACCTTTGCGGAATTGATCGTAATTCCTGTGTAAGTATATGTACAAACGGAGTCGGAGAGCACTTTTTTTCTGGAAGGAAAACTGGCAGTTCTTAAATGAAGTTGATTTTGTTCGAGTACATAATAAAATATTAATAATAGTATAATAGACTATTAATAGTAATAGTGTAATACACAATAACAGAGCAGTTTCTCAGAAGGAAAACTGGCAGTCTTCTTCTTCTTCTTCTTCTTCTTTTTTTTTTTTTTTTTTTTTTTTTTTTTTTTTTTTTTTTTTTTTTTTTTTTTTTTTTTTTTTTGTTTGTTTGTTTGTTTGTTTGTTTTCTCTCTTCATCGGGGGACAGTCGTATCTTTTTCTCTCACCTCTTTGAAGCCCAACCAATTCAATTACCTGTCAAATCTGGACAGGACAGCCTCTCACATTTTTTTTTTAGCCGTATATTTTTCTCTCACCTTACATATTTTTTAACTGGCGTTCTGCCATGCCATGGAACATATCTTTTCCCAACTTTCACTACCTACCTACCACTACTCCTAAGCCTATACAGGGGACCCCTGCAAGCATAGCTTTCTACCCCTCTTCGGTGAAGGGAGGTTACCTCTCTCGGTGGAGAGCGAGCCTTAACGGCGTGTTTGGCACTTGGCCCTATCGGTTAGGGTCCAGGGTTGGGGCCGCTGCTGGGGGCCTGGCTAACGCATGGACCGAGCATTTTTATTTTATTTCATATATTTTAAAAAAAAAATTAACAGTAACCGTGCCTCCCTTTTTAACTGCGTACAATTAAAACTTTAAAAATATATGAAATAAAATAAAATAAAAATGTAATTGAGTACTGTATGTCCCTTTGCGTTGTTTACTTGTAGATGTTGTGACTGAGAGTGGACAAAAGCCAAGTCACACCTCCCTTTTTTTTTCTGTTTTTTTTTTTCTGTTTTTTTTTTAAAGGCCGTACTGGATAGTGATGTCTGTTGGAGTACCAGGATTGTGATCGAAATGGGACTGGGTCTCTTTCACTTGTAGGTGCCGTCTGTTAGAGTACCAGAAATGAAACTGGTTCTCTTCCAGATTATGCTTCCAGCAGTCCGGGGCCATCCGTCCATTATTATAGGTTAATAACAAGTCGTAAACCCTGAGCTTTGCTGGAATAACTACCCCTATTTGCATCTTGTGGCTTACATAGCCATCATTTATCGTTTGTGCCCTCCCGTGTATGTGGCATTAAAGCACACGAGTACACCTGCACCTGGAGATGCTCCGCTGCGCCCCAAGCTTTAGCTGAAACCGCCCGCAGTGCACTTTTTTTCTTCGTTTTCGACTCGTGCTGCCAGCCTTTGTGGTCAGGAAGGACTGAGGCGCGAAGTTTTTTTTTTTCAGATGGGCGACGAGTTCATTTTCAGCAAGTCTGCAGCCGTGCACAACCGTCTTCACTCGAACAGAACGCCCGGTCGTTATTGCTGCATCTCGACTGAAAGCTGCACCAAATACAGCGATAATGATAGGGCGCACCACCGCGTCTTCACTCGAACAGAACGCCCGGTCGTTATTGCTGCATCTGGACTGAAAGCTGCACCAAATACAGCGATAATGACAGGGCGCACCACCGTCTTCACTCGAACAGAACGCCCGGTCGTTATTGCTGCATCTGGACTGAAAGTTGCACCAAATACAGCGATAATGACCGGGCGCTCTATTCGGGTGAAGAAGAGAGTAGCGGTTTAAACAGGCAGCAGCTGAAGTGTCATGACTGAGGAAGGCTACTCTGAATGATGAGTGGGGATGAGCTGAGCAAGTGCAGCCATGCAGCCATGGCTGAAGACCAGGAGTATGATGCTTTTTTTCTTTTTTTTTTAATCTTTTTTGTGTTTCTGCCATAACAGGGAATCCAGAAAGTAGTGTTGTTAATGAGAAGCTGGGCAGCTTCTTTTTCTTTTCTTTTCTTTTTCTTTTCTTTTCTTTTTCTTTTCCTTTATTCTTTGCTGAGGGGGTTTTCATGATTTTTTTTTTTTTTTTTTTTTTTTTTTAAAACCACGCTGCAACGCTAGGAGGGGTGATATGAGCCCCCCCCCTCCTTGCAGGCCGCCTGGTTGCTCCAATCTACTGGTGGGGAGCATCACCTGCTAGACAATGGGTGCAGCGTCCCCCTGAATATCTATCTCAAGGCAGAAATTAACTGTGTCACCTGCCAGCATTGATTGCCTGTGTTACCTGGGATTGACTGTGCAGGCACTGCCAAACATAACCAAATGACAGGGTGCTATGCTTGCCAAACATAGCCAGATAACAAGATGCTATAGGCGGGTAGCCACCTCTTTCGCTCCAAACGAGCCAACAGATCCATTTTCGTCTCCTTAGTGACCCCAGCCTTCCTTTTCTAGTCCTGCGTTCGCCCAGCCACCAGTGCAGGCTCTTCCTGAACGCCAGCAGATCTCCAAGCTGCTCTGCCCAGCGGTTCTCCAAGCTGCTCTATCCACTCACTGCCCTGTGTTCCTCGAACCGGTGCCAATTGACGTTCGCTTACCCTGCACCATAGCATTGCATGTCTACCATAGACAGTTGATGGGGCGGGAAGGGGTCCGGGAACTCCGAGGGTGGGCGCAGCGGTACTCCTTGGTCCATTCCTGGAAGCAAAGTGCAGTAATCCCTCACGAATCCCTCCTGCAGCCTGCTCCTGCCCCGGAGATTGGCCACCCTCCCATCGGATATAAGCAATCCAGCCCCCCTTTCCCCTGAGAATTGATTGATTGCTTGTGTAACATCTCTCTTTAGACCACCGGTACTTGGCCCATACATCAGCCGCGGGGCGTTGTCGTTAACGGCCCGCAACTTCCGGAGGCTCGGGGTATTGATCCTCAAAGGCTGGCGCCGCCAGCCAAAACAATTTTTTTCTTGTTGCGCTGGCGGGTCGGAGCGAAACGGCGCGCAGCCCGTTTTCAGGCTTGGCATCGATAGCTGGGCCAAGTACTGGTGGTGTAAGTGATATATAACTCCAGTTGGTTCTCGATCTTCTGCCACCGTGAGAGGAGCTCTTGATGTATGTACTGTTTGATCATTTCTGTCACTTCCTCTCCATCTATGCGAACTCCGTCAATGGTGTGTGTGCAGCGTTTCCTCCAGAGCGCCCAGATAATCGCTCTCCTGCCAATCTTGAACATATTGTTTTCAAAAACACTGTCCGTGGGGGAGGTCCATGCCTCGCAGAACAGCGCCTTCCAGTCCCAGGGCCAGGCCGATCGGGTGCCCAAAAGGTTCCATATCCTATCCCACCAACGCCAAGTGAGGACCGCCCTTGGAGCAGCTGGGTGTTGAGGTCCGAAATTGGAAGTCAAATTTTTTATTTGTTTGGTTTTAGCCATATATATATATATATATCTGTTTGTGACGATATATTGACGATATATATAGGGTTCAGCCTCCTGATGAGTCGGTGAAACTCCGACGAAACAGTTTGTCACAGCCCCTCGTTTGTTGTCCTCTTCTCTCTCTCTGCCTACGGTTTTACCGGGCAGTTCTGTTTGTGACGATATATATATATTGTCCTCTTCTCTCTCTCTGCCTACGGTTTACCGGGCAGTTCTGTTTGTGACGATATATATCGGTGAAACTCCGACGAAACAGTTTGTCACAGCCCCTCGTTTGTTGTCCTCTTCTCCCTCTCTGCCTACGGTTTACCGGGCAGTTCTATTTGACGATATATATATATATATATATATATATATATATATATATATATATATTTGACGATATATATACTATTTGACGATATATATATATATATATATATCTTTTCTAATTTAAGACGGAGCACTGTAGGAAGTTGTGTTCTATAGTTCCCGGGATCTTACGGGAGGGGAAGGCGGTGTGGCAGGATTTACACCAAGGAAGCACCATACCCTTCTGCTTGTTCCGGGTACGTGCGATCCACCAGGCAATTATTAGTAGGAAGGCAATGGTGCTCTATCTGCCACTGCAGCGAGGCGAGCTTCGCCAGTTTAGACCTCATGATCGAGAACCACCGGATGGGGCAGATGTTCTCATTCCCCAGATTCAGGTGGGATTTCCAGCGGGCTTTCAAAATCTCCTTTAAGTTCACCTTTGGCCGCAGCAGCCGGTATGTGGCCTTCACCGTCAAACTAAAGAACTTTATATTCAAGTCAGCTGGCGTTCCCCAGATCCTGTGCAGGCGCCCAATGCCACTCCTCTGAGTCGAAGGGAAGTTCGGCAAGGGGGGTTCCCACGAGGAACACGGTCCATTCGTCTTTGTGCCTCGTTCCCCAGATCCTGTGCAGCTGCTCGTTCCTGCACCACGTCACCGCGTCTGGAGTGTATCTGGTGAGGACGTTACCCTTACCCTTGTGGAAGAGGCTGACCAAGGATTCGCCTGCCCGTACCTCCACCACGTTGCCTAGTACACTTTCCCTGCCGTCTGGGACTGCGACCTAGTCCCCTTCTGCCAGCCGCGGTCTCTTACGCAGAATACGCACCCAGTCAAGAGGGACATCGGATATCAGCGCTTCTCAGTTCCTTTCGATATCATGACAGTACCTCAACTGGGCCCTCAACTGTAGTGCCGTTTCCTAGTCCTTGCTTGCCGGTATTCATGAAATATTAGTGGTAGGTGGGTCGTAAAGGTGAAAGCACTCGTTTAGACAACACAGCACACATGGAAATGTGGAATTACAAGTACATCATCAATAGATTCAATACATCTATCACCTCTTAAGGCAGCTGAATTTTTTAGGACACAA